CAATGAAGACATGCGAGCATCTTAGACAGATTTGAACTTAACCTCTAAGAGCTTATAACAGGTGTGGGCTCCCTTCCTCATAATCAATGCACTGAAACTCTAAAAATTTTGTATGGGTGCCCTGTTTGATCTTAACACGCACAGAGATTTATAATTCTGATGTAGTGTTACTGGTGTTATTATGGGTATGTCAAGTACCATGGGAGCCCAGAGGACAGAATCACCGCCACTACTTGGACAGAATCAGGGAAGGCTTCCATAGGGAGGTGAGGCGGGAGGCAGTAAGAAAGGCAACCTAAGCACAGAGTGTTGCACATGTAAATGATGGCTGGAAGCATGAAACACCCTGCTATGGATTAAATATTTGTGCCCCCAATCATATGTTGAAGCCCTAACTCCAAAATGATGCTAGTCGGAGGTGGGACCTCTGGGGAGGTTACTGGGTTTAATGACGTCATGATGGTATCAGTGCCCTCATAAGAAGAGGAAGACATACTAGAGCCTCTTCTCTCTGCCACATGAGGACAGAGTAGGCCAGGAAGGAATCTGTCTGCAGAACTCGACCATGCTGGCACTGTGATCCTGGACTTCCAGCCTCCAGAACTGTGAGAAATAAATGTCGGTTGGTTAACCCCCAGCTCATGGCATTTCGCTAGTGCAGCCCAAGCTGACTAAAGGCACGCCCTGACATATTTATGAGATACAAATAGTTCATCAAGGATGGGTTCCTCAACTTCTAAGGAACTGAGTCTCCCAGCAGACACCGGTCACACACTATACTTGTTGATGGAGGAATCCCTGCCGTGTAACAGGGAAGATTTCAGCCACTACAATGTCAACATCGAAGCCCAAGTTGTTCAGAACCCTGCTTTCTCTCCCTCACTAGACTACTAGTCAGGCTACATTTGAAAGACAAATGAACTGTTACAATGTCCACTCCCTGGGTCCTCAGCCTTAAACCAATATAATGACTTAAAAGTTAAAAGCAATCGAAACCACAGCATCACATCCGATACTGGCCACTAGGTGGAGCTATGTATCTCACCAAAAACACACCAGAGGTGAAGTTGATTTTCCCCAAGTGTTCTGTAAATAGAACCGCTGAGTTTCACAGCTAGTGGTGGCAAGTTATATACGCCCAAGGTCCTGTGAGGGTAGGACTGCAGAATAGACCATTCACGAAATATTTATTAAATGCCTATTTGTACTAGTCTCTGAGTTTAGAAAAATAATGGGCACTGTCTGCCTTCTAAGAGCTTCAAGTTTGGAGTAGGACACACACACGCACATAGGCACGAGTGCTTGCATGTGCACGCACATACACAGTGCACATTTCTTGAGCATCCCAGACTGCCAGGTGCTTCTCAAGTCTTATCTCTAATTCTCAAAGGTTAAGAACATGCTCCAGTTCATTTGGTAGAATCAGGACTAAATATCCAATCTGTTTGCCTCTAAGACCATACTCTTCCCTCAACCCTACCCAGCCCCTCTCAGTTTCCCATGCAAAGTGAAAGGCTCACACACAAGGCTGGGTGCAAACCAAAGCCACCAGAAACGCATGTGACAGAGCTAACTCTGACTGGGGAAGTCCAGGAGGGCATCACAGAGGTGTTTATTTTAGGATCAGTCAGATGGGCTTGATGGGAAAGGAATTCCAGGAAGAAAGGGGCTTGTCCTGAAGGCACAGAGCTTTGCAAATGCAGGAAACAGCCTCCTGTAATGAATGGCAGGTAGCCTGGAGCAGTGGGGAGTGTGGGGTGTGTGGGGAGGGATGTGGCCAGGGCTAAGGCAGAAAGGGCGGCTGAGGGAAGGATCATAAAGAGCCTCCCACAGTTCAGTTAAGAAGTTGAGATCTGTTCCCACAGGCAACAGGAAGCCATCAAAGGTTCTTGGAAAATTTTCTGATGTTAAATGTAAAGGGTCATTTTTTTCCCCAGGAAGGAATGTATATTCACACTTTAGAAGATTATACAACTTGGTGCCTCCTTTGAAAAGAAAAACAATCATCTTTCCAAACATATGGATGCTAAGTCTGTCCCCTTAATTTTATTCTGCACCACGTGGCACTCTGAATGTTTAGAAGATGAGTGGATGGACTCACAACACAGATCAAAACTTAGTAAGAGACATCTTCATCTGTTATTTTAAACTCCCACTAACCAAAGCCAAAGCCCAATTTACCAACCTAAAGTATTTAGACACACCTGGCACACACTAAGAGTTAATTTACACACACACACACACACACACACGAAGACAAACGACATTCAACATTAGGTTCTTAGTAATGTAATCTCAGTCTCAGCTAAAGTAGAACTGAATGATATACACATGGACACAAGTGCATACTATTCAGGGCAGACAATGAACTACAAGTAAAAAAAAAAAAAAAATAGCTGCTACACCAAGGGCAGGTACGGTGTCATTTCAAAAACAAAGGTCATAGGTTCAGAAACTAGAATTTCCTTCTGTACCAGGCTTTCTAAATAAACTTGATGTAAACTTTTACAAGAACTTTTTTCCAAGAGCCTCCTTACAGGTATATATTTTACTCATACATCAAGTCTGTCCCTACCAAGCCAAACAAACATCTGGATGAAAACTTGAATCATTTCATTGTTTCCAAGTGTCTGGCTGTTTGAGGTTGATAAGATACCTAGACTGTGTCTGAGACTTTGTGGCTTTATCAGATATTTGCCATTAATCAGATACACCTCAAAGAGAACTCTATCTGTAGAAGGTTAAGGACCATATTAATTACAGTGCTTCAAGGCGCAGAGAAGTGGAATGATGTGCCCAGTGTCACAGAGCTCACAACTGGCAGAGCAGAGTTTAAGCTCCATGCGTCTGACATTCAGTCTGTTTTCTGTCCACTACACCAAAGGCCTCAGCAATATGACTTATTTAGCAGATTCTGAAGCAGAGACTAAATGGCCAGTCCTTCAATATCCACAACCCTGTCATGTTTATAAAAGGAAAAAAGAAATGAGTACAAAGGACATTCAATGACTTGTTCTGGACTCAGCATGTCGAAGCAAACTGATAATGTAGCCCCAAAGCAAACACTCGCATGCATTTCCACAGGGTGAAGTCACGCTCAGCTCGCATTCTAGAATGTTACCGCTAGAAGGAGCATTAGGTGCCATCTGGGCCATCTCTCCTCATTTTGGAGGTAAATTTCCACATGAAGAGGAGTGGGAGAAGAAAAACCAGACCAGAGTTCTCTAGTTTCAATAATTGGGTGGTTTGCTTACATGTCTGCACTTTTATCTACACTTGCTCTGAGAGCTATCTCACTGGCTAAAAAATGTAAACTTCCCAGAGCAGGAGCTGAAATGTAAACACTTGTGCTGTTCAGCAGGAGTAAAGGCTCTGGTTTAAAGATCACAGACTTGCTCACTGGGACATCACCAAGGCTTAGGTTTGAGTATTTCAATGTCTCCATCTTGTGGGAACTGTCAGTACTACATCAAAATCAACACTGACCATCTATTGAGGATTAAAAGACAGATCCAACAATAAAATAAACTCTATGACAGGATACAAAAGTCTCAAAATAACCTGAAAATTTCTTAGTAGCATATTACAGTGAGATTTGATAATGATTCCCTTGAGGCCATGCTGGATTCCAGAAGGAGCAGGGCTCTGGGGCTGCTAGCCCTGGGCTCTGCATCCTAACTACTGCAGGACCTTCGGCAAGTTATTTAAACTGATGAGCCTCAGTTTACTCATCCATAAAATGGGGACTGTGACATCACCTACCTTGGAGGATTGCTGTGAGTACAGAAGAAGGTAATACACATAAAGCACCCAGCACGGGGCGTGGTTCATAGTTGGGGAACTAGCTATTATTCAATGATGAAAATATCGACTTACCCATGGGTTCTTGATCACTGTTTATGGAAACGAGTGGCATGAGTGTTATGCCTGATTTTTATTATCTATAATTCTGGCTGCTAGAATGCTAGAGGAGGGAACGATCTTGGAAAAGTTATGCACGAGTGAAGTGAACAGATGAAGTCTCAGGCAAGTGGAGTAAATAGATGAACCTTTGGTTTACACAATGATCTGGGAGTAGAGCTAAAAACAACAGGAAGGCCTATGACTATACATGGTCACAGTGAGGCTAAAACAGTAGCTCATCACAGGGAGGCTGCGTTTGTTCCTTCGCCCAGGGGTCCGTGTATTCATTAGTTCAGCAATATCTATAAGCTCCGATATGTACAATGCACTGGGGACTCGGCAATGAACAAGCCAGACAATGTCCTTGCTTCCTGGAGCTTATTACTGCAAGCAGGAGGGGATAGGGAGATCATAAAATACAAACAAATAATCAGGATAGTGACAAGGTTCCAAATGAGCATAAGACAGGGTACAGGGCAAGGCCACATAAACTACTTTGAGCTGAATGGTCAAGTTGGGCTCCTACAAAGAGATGTCCGCTGAGCAGCAAGAAGGAACCAGCCATGCAACAATCTGAAGAATAGAATCTGGGCAAAGAAACAGAAGGTGCAAAGGCCCTGAGGTAGGAAAGAGCTTGATGAGACTGAGGAATAGAAGGAACAGCTACAGCAGGGAAGCAAGGGATGGGGAGGGTGGAGAACCATAGGATCTAAGAGTCAGGTGAGAGCCAGATCCCGCAGGGCCAGGTAGGCCGTGCTAAGGAGTCTGGATTCCATCCTAAGTGCCAGATTTGGTTTAAAGAACTGACACAAGATGGTTTGTTGTCACACGTCATTCTGTACTCAGGCTGCAGGTAGAGCCTCGCTAGAACTGCCCAGTGGGGAACTGCAGAGCCTGGACCGTGGTCCGGGTCTGTGACTCTGCCCAGAAGGTTCCCCCTGCACCACACAGCCTTGGACACGGACAGGAGAAAGCGAAACAGGCAGTGTGACCGGCTCCAGAGAACTTAAATAAAACACTGCCAAACTAAACAAACAAACCAAACCCAGGTGCCAAGGCTTCTCCTGCTCTGTGAAAGAGAAACCCCAAGAACTCACCCACTTGTGATGTCATCCGTCCGGATGTTCTTGCTCAGGACGTCGCCGTCGCTCATGTAGCCGGGGGCGTCCATGCTGATGCCTTCCAGGTCCATCTCGTCCCCCGCCTTGTCCGAGACGTCCACGTGGCAGACGCTGCTGCCCCTGGAGGCCAGCTGCCTCCTCAGAGGGGCAGAGTACACGTAGCGGCCCGACTCGGTGTTGATGAACCGGCTGGCGTTGGCCCGAGGCGGGTACCCGTTGCCCATCGAGGGGGCATCTCCTGCTTGGAGCCGAGGGCTGGACTGGCCGAGCCTCCAGGACAGAGGCGTGGGCCTGCCCGTCAGGCTGAGGATGCTGCGCCCGCTGATCTCCGTGGTGACGTTGGTGTCAAATGTGGTTTCTAATGTGCTAAGGACATAAAAGCCACCCCAGGTCAGACCCCAATGTGCCTAGAATGCTTTGCCATTCACATGTTCTTTAAGTTTTTAAAAATTATGAACTATTACCCATGTACATGATAGGATCAAACAACAGGCACCCACGTACCCCCCGCTGAACAGAGGAAGGTGTGCACCCACCCACATTCTAGAAAGTCCATCAAAGACTTTTCCCACCAAAACATGGTACAGGGCGCTCACGACCATGACTTTGATTAAATTATCTTAACTACTCTAATCTTTCTAACCCAGGAAGGGAAACAGAAAACGCCGATCTGATAACAATGGGCATCGAGGACCCCATCTGCCTCACAGATGCCCCTTTCCAAGGACAGACGCACCTGCCCCCTGCGCAGTTCCTAATATCCTGTCCCCTTTCCTCAGCTGCTCCCTGACCAAGCAGGTGGGGACAGCCTTGACCTTCTAACTCTCTAAGGTCCATTTCCTCCACACTTTTGCTTCTCCCATATTTTGTCCAAAATGACAACTCAACTTTGGGGCAAAAGGCTAGAAAAGAGTGGTGAATACCTAGGCTTGATATCAAATCACATGGTAATAAATCTAATTACATGGGTGCCCATCTGCCCGGAGGTGGAGCTGGTCCCTGGGACCGGGAAGACTCCTTTGCCGTCCCCCGTGTTTCAAGACAAGCAGTGCTCCTCCGCAGAGCTGCGTGGGTCTCTAACTGAGCAGAGAGGGCAAGAGTCTTTCCTGCAGGAGAAACCGCTGAAGCTGCCCTCCTGTCATTGTTATCACCCTAGTCCAAGCCAAGAAATCCACCATACTGTTGTAAACCCCAGCTGGTCGGTTTTAGTGATTGTGGTAGAGACGGGGCATTTCATACCTAATCACAGCATCGCAGGGTCCAATACCTGGCTCCACGCCATCAAACAGCTAAAGGCTTAAGGGGCCCAAGACCAAAGCCAAGTTCACTCTCCTCTGGGAGAGCCAAATTGTTTGGTGCCTCGCTGTTTTTGTTTCCCTCCAATCCTGCAAGTGGCCTTACCTTCCTCACACTGGGGTCCCCCCCTTAAGGTTTGGGCCCCAGTCTTATTTAAGATGGAACCCATGGTGCTTAACCTCGATTGGCCCAAACTGCCAACAGTGGTGAAGCCCTGTGGTCTCCCTGCTTAATTCATTTATCAGAGATTGAAATTGGAGAAGCAAAAAGGGACTCTGGGAGATCAGTGGGGGTACCTAGGACTCAGCCTTGATCACCAAAGCCAAACACAGACCGTAAATCTCGATTCTGCCAAAATCACGAAGGATGTCCTAGGGTTGTATCTTTTTCAATTTCTTGTTCAGCCATGAAAACCACCTGATAAATGTTTCCAAGGTAATGCTAGAATTCACCCAACTAAATCACTGTTTATAAACACGATCATCAGGTTTTAGAAATATTTCCTTACATGTTTTACACACGCGCATGACTAACAACATTGCAGAGTGTCACCTATCAGAAGACTGGGTAGGAATCCAAGTTATTCACTTTATCGCGCAGGTCAAACACAGTTCACCTGCTCATTTCAACAGCGTGCTGCAGTTTTGGAAAATGCACCAAAAGTGAAATTTAAATGGAGCTGGTCCAAAATACCCTTGGTGGGATAGATTTAGCAACCTCCTGCTTTGGGGAGGAATCTGTCTATACGAATTCTTGCTGACACCTCTCTTCTGTGCGCTGTATGGCATTTTTTGTAAATTCGAGCACATTTAGCCATCGGGGTTATTTATTCCATTATTAACCAAATCACGCTGCTAGTAGCATGAACAGACACAGGAGAAGCCCTGTGACAATCAAGTTACAAGCTGGTTCAGTAAAGTAATTCACGCTCCAGATACCTGTGTGTAACCTGAGTTCCCCGTAAACTGGACATGGTCTCCTCCAGGTTCTGCCGCAGGTCAGCAATGTTCTTCACTGTCCGCAGGCGCCGAGCCTCAGGATCTTCCCCTGGAAAGATGAGCGTTAAGGCTATTTTAATTCTCAGACAGATGGTGAACTTCAGGGAGCAGGAGTTGTGTCCATGCTCAGGGCCTGGCTCACCATGGGTGCTTAAGAGGGACTTGACAAAGAATGAATGAATGAATGAATGCCCAAAGGAGAGTGTTAAATCCAAGNCCATGGGTGCTTAAGAGGGACTTGACAAAGAATGAATGAATGAATGAATGAATGAATGAATGAATGCCCAAAGGAGAGTGTTAAATCCAAGGAGAGAGGCCTTTCTTCTCCCTCTAGGTCCCGCCTAAAATAAGTGATGTCTAGCTTGTGGGAGAAACAAAGGACCTAGTCTGAGATGTTAACTACACTGTCATACTAATTCCAACAAAGACATGCACACATTAGGTCCGATCCCCAGGAATCACTTTCTGCCTGTGGAAAAGTAGGCATTTTGTTTTATCCTTCATTGGTGACACACACTGGTGTCTACTGGCCCTACATTACAAAAGGAACTTGGAATGGCTAAAAGATCTGCACTTATCAATCACAAACATGTCTAGAGAGAGGTTTGCCGTTTCTTTATTATGTCATCTCAAATTCTGGCTCCTCTACTCACTGGCTATGTGATCATGGGAAGGTGTCCACCCTCTCCATCCTTCAGATGCCACCACCCTAAAGTGAGGACAGTAATGGTACTGACCTTGAAGGACAGCTATGTGGACTAAATGGCACAGGGGCTGGAGATCCCTGGTCACAGTGCCCACCACCAGGCTCAATGCATGCCAGCTGGTGCTGCAGAGCAGGGAGCCATCAGGAAGACTCAGGGCACTCGGGGAGACAACGGACTCCCATTCTCTGGGCAAGGTTTCCCACAAAGCACACGGCCCAGGAGAGGTCAGGCTGGCACCAATGTCCCAGGAGATGCAGGCCACACACAAGCCAGGAAGCCACGTGCTCTCTCAGAGTAAGGAGCCTTGTTTCGGTTCTCTGGCTTTCCTGTCTTGTTTGGGCTTACAAGGGGAAGAGGAGCGGGGGAATCACCACCCCGACAATGAAAGGAATCAAACATCTTCCCCCAGGGTAACTTCAGGCAGTGCCGAGAAGACGGAAGAGCCACCAGCAAGGGTCTTTAAAAGCCTATGACTATTTCAAGTGTGAAGCAACATTTTTGAAATTATTATTTTAAAAATATGTTTTTATTGATTTCAGAGAGAAGAAGGGAGAGGGAGAGAGATAGAAACATCAATGATGAGAAAGTCATTGATGGGCTGCCTCCTGCACGCTCCCTGCTGGGGATCGAGCCTGCAACCCGGGCATGTGCCCTGACCGGGAATCGAACCCTGACCTACTGGTTCATAGGTCGATGCTCAACCACTGAGTCACGCCAGCTGGGCTGAAGCAATACTTTTAAAGAAATCTCCATACAGAATATAGTCCACACAGGCAGCAGGAAGTGGAATCTATATCAGATGCTAAGTAGAACTTCTAGCAGTTGTCAGTAGGGCAACAGGCAGCTAAGAAAGGTCATTAGAATTAACCTTCTTTCTGAGACTGATGATAAATTCCTTTGATTGTTCTCAGTACGGTGGTGCCTGGAGGCAGGGGAATGGAATAAATGACAGCTATGTAATTTTATGGAAGAAATTTGCTATAGCAAACTCTCTACCCTTAGAAATGCAAGTGTTTTCAATTTTCTCCCTCCCTTTTAACCAAGAGAAATTTGAAAGGCATTATTTTTTTCTCTTATCTGAAAAGTGGTCAAACTTGTACTTCCCACCCAATTCTTTAAAATACATTCATGTAGGTATGTGTTTTTGAATGAGAGCAGTGATGGGATGGCCCTGGAGGAATGTAATGGCATCTATCTCCAGGGCCATAATTAAACATCTGCTGCTGCCAACTTGGCCACATTTCATCTACGTAAGGCTGCCAACAAAGGTAAGGATCCTTTGGACAGCTCTAGGCCTGCAGTGAATATTTATTATAAAGCTAATTACCTTCATTAATTAGCTTGATCACACACAAAAAGTATAATTATTATTTTATTGATCCATGCCCCTATTAGGGCCACAGTTGCCTGTGTTAACTCTTCTTTAGAAATTCAAAGATCTTTGAGATGGGATGGCACCTCGCCTTTACGTTTGGTAGCCCTCACACATATCTACTTATGCCCAAGAAATATTTTTGTCCAAAAGACATTTGGTCAGTGCAGGGCTGAAGAAGGAGCACAGGCTTTGTATTCTGACAGATAAAGGTTTAAATTGTGGCCCAGCTGCAGATTAGCCAGTTGACCTTGGACAAGTCACTTATTCTCTCCAAAGGACACCTGTGAAATGGGGACAAAATCCTTCCTTTCAAAGGGTAGGAGAAAGATCGGATGAGATGACACATGATATGCCTGGCACAGAATGAGGGCTCATTGAATTCAATGGTCTTGGTTCCCTCTTGGGTGGGAGTCCTTCTGGGAAATGTTTGCTTCCCGCACAGCCCCATATACACCAGATTCCAGGAGCAACATAGAAATGCAAACCAGTAATCTATCTGCCTTGCTTAGGCGATCACACTCTGAACTGTCAATTCCACCTCCTTGGAAGATGCCCTGAGTGTAAGGTTTTCCTACCAACTCTCAGCCCGAACAAAATAAAAATATAAGCAGGCTCCAGTGGAAATAGCAGGATCCTTTCAGTTCATACCCAGAGATCGTAAACTATTAATGAAACTAGTTAAGCTATTCAATGTCTACCTGTGGTTCTCACACTGGCCAAGGGCAGGCCTCCCTCAAGCCATTGGCTGTGAGGAAAAGACCACCACATATTCTGCCCCAATAGGGCTGGGTTTAGAGGATGTCAGGGTGCTATAAAAAGAACATGGGGAGAACCTTGGATTTTTACTTGGAAGAGGAAGGCTTAAGGGACAAGCTGCTACATGGCAAAGACTGAAATTGTCTGTGGGCTTTAGGAAGCTGGATTCTATCCAGGGATTAGAAATGTAAGAATAAAGAACTCTGTTACCTATTAAAGCCACAAAATATGGAAAGGCTGCCTTATGAAGGAATAATCTTCCTGTCACAAGAAGTACCCAAATAGAGACTGAAAGACAATTCATCAGTGAATGATAGAAGGGATTTGAAGGCTGGGTAATAAACAGAGGAGTTCCTTCGAACCCCACACTCCAAGATGCAGGTCTTACCTGTAATGCTATGTAAATGGCAAAGCACCGTGGGAAAATCCACCTATTTGCATAAGCACAGGGCGAACTAAGCAAATGATCAAATAACCTTATAAATGTCCATTTCTAAATATACACACCATTCATTTTCATTTCAAGGGATCAGTTATGGATAAGTTACATTCAGCCCCAAGCCTCTATGAAGCGTCTCCATAAAACCACCCACCACACAGTCACAGGTGTGAGTTCTGCTTGAATGTAAAGACAAGTCAACCGATTAAGAAATTTTAATTAGTCGCTAACACCATCTGACTTAACAGGGAAGATTGCTTGATCAGGCATCATTGGCTGCACAGGTCTGTTCCCCAAGGCAGCTGACAGCATCTCAGGCTTTCTGAGCTCTTAGTTGGTTTTACAGTCCTGATGCAGAGGAGACATGGGCAGAAAATGAAAAATGAGTGGAAGATCACAGGCTGCAATCTGTCGCTCTGAAATTGAAGTGTTATGTGGAATGTTCTCTGGCGGCTGCTTTTGCTTTTCAAATGTGAATTTAGCTGAGCCTCCGTGCCTGACATGAATCCACACTGCTCCGCGGGACACACATCTGATCCACCCGGGCTCTGAGGCACTGGCCTCGCTCTTTTGATGTGTGCACATAAGAACACGATCTGGAATGTGTGTAGAGACCTGAGCAGGCATCTGAACTCCACACCCTTCTCTTGGCTCTTTTCCTGTGCTGTATCCATGCCCTCCTATGCAAGGGAGCTACAAACCCCGGAGAGGAAGCAAAATCCATCCCAAATGTGGGGCCCTGAACCACTGTAAGATGGATCACTCACAAAGGGCTTGAAAACTCTCCGCTCCATCACTGTGCCCAGTCAGTGAAACCAAAAGGAAATCGTTAAATCACTCAGATCCTCTGAAATTAATGCTCAGAGCTAATGGCGAGAGGAGTAAGATTTGATCATATGGGCAGCAGACCAATGCCGCAGCTGTAGTGCGGCTATTTAAATGATGTGGTCATGGATAGTGAATCTAATAAATAAATTTTAAACTCAGATTCAGTTTCCAGCCCAACTCTGGAAGTGGTAAGATAGGAGAGGAATAACTCAGCTACTGCTCACTGTGTGGTTTACCACTCGCTTCCCTGATCAGAAGTTGCTGGAGCACGGAGATGGGGAGTGGGGAAGAGAGACAACTGGGAAGAGATGGTGGCAACTGGGACTGCACTGCGGGGGGTCCTTACTCAGACGCTAACTTTCCCTCTTTAAACGAAGAAAGGGACGGTGTAGCACTAACAGGTAAGTATTTGTGGAATTAACTATATGATAACCGCGGAGTCTACGTTTTCCTATAATGCCCCTTAAATCATCACGGGAGGTTATAAGTCAAATTTATTTATTTATTTTGGTTTTGGTAAAAGCAGCCTGCTGTAATATTTCCAATTAATAGAGATACTGAGAAGAATGTTCAATTGGTGCCCCCATAGAGGAAAGAAAAAAAAAGTCAGTATTTTGAGTTCCAACTCTTGCTGGAAAGCGACTTTATCTGAAGAGTAAACAAGGTGATTCAAAGTTGAGTGTCAGCGCAGCCCGGTGCCCCTTCACGAATGGAATGGAATGTGTCTTAAAAGATGATTTCGCAAACAGGTAAGAGACTTATTTACAGTTCTGGGGAGGAAGGGATAGGTTGTGTGAGAGACAGAACAGGAAAAAGAGAAGAAAAGTGATAAGAAAAATACTAAGTTTGTTTAGCTCATCAATCAGTGCCACAGCAAACCAACTTCAGATCTTGCTGGGTTTGTGCCCTTCCAGCAGGTGGTTCCACAGGAGGCTGCATCGCCAACAGACCCAGGATTCTGGGGCTCCATACTCACCAGTGAGCTCTTCCAGCGCAGGCTGTCCGCTCTTGGAGTAGTGTCCGGGCTCCATGCTCACCCCCGCGGAGCTGGACTCGGCAGTAACATTCCCTTCGGTGTCTGTCTGGGACCTTCACATACAAACCAAAGCAGAGACACTTGTCACGAGCGGTAACTCCCACTTCTGGCCCACTGTGGTCTTCCCACAGCACCTCCCATCCCTCCTTCAGCAAGAAGCTTTAGAATGGAGCAGGCCAGCAGACTGACACTAAATAATTCATTAGCACATAGGGAGCAATGTCCTGGAAACAGAGCCACCAAACTGTAAAAGATGAAATATTCATCACCCAAATGGAGGGTCTGAGCTCCTGCACTGGGGAATGCTCTTCTGCATCCCCATCAGGGCGCCAGGTCTAGCCAGGAAAATGCCGGAGAGTACGGGGGGGTTGAACCATTCAGCCAAAGCCAAACAGCAACTTCTAAGTAACCAGCAACACCAGCAATCAAGCATAAGATGACTCCACTGACAGCCCCCACCCCTCGACCCTCCCAATCCTCCTGGCATGGCTCCTTTGAAAAGGTGACTGTAACACCAGTCAGGACTTCGTGCCAAGCAGGTGTGTTTGCCCTCCAGGTCTCTGATTCAGAGCTCAGATCTGCTGACATGAAAGGTCTCACTGATCATTATTTCAACACTTGACTGAAATGTGTACTTCCCCAAACCTTCCCCATGCGCTTATTTGTCAAAGCAAATAGGGGCAACTGCTTCATGCAATGTGTTCTTGCCACAACTACCTCTGTTCATCTAGGCATGGCATGCAAATGGATAACTGCACTCAGACGCATAACCCTGGGTGTAACATTATTAATTCATCAGCATCCTGAGCTAATTCAACCCGATTTCACTGCCTATGAAGAAAGCGTTTGCCAAGAATGAGAGCTGTCTTAAATGTGGGGGATGTGCTGGTACACCTCAAGTCGTCCATCTATTCTCCCTCCCTTTGGCCTCGAGCCATCAGTCCCCATTTCTGGTCATCTCTCTCTTTAAAGGATTTTCATATTCTCAGTGGTCCTCTCCATTCACTGGCCAGTGTCCAAGCTCTCATCGTCTCTGCCAAGGCCCTACGAGTGCTTTGTAAGCAGGTACGCTGCCTCCACCCTAGGGGCTGTAAATGACAGCCAGGTGTAGAAACCAGCCCACGGATTTTATTCTTATTGGTATGCATATTTTGAAGCTTTTGAATTAGTTTCAACATTTAAAAATTGGGAGACTTCACAAGAAATAGCTGGATTTCTGCCTTCCCCAGTAAAAATAAGAAAGTCTAGATTGAATGAGCTCCACCTGCTGGTGCCAAGTGGTGGCGGCTCCCTCTAGAGGCGTGGAGTTCCCTCTGCCACAGACCCCTCATCCTGAGACTCCCACTTATACTACCTTTTGGGGCCCAATCAGGTTATCTATGACCTCTGTTCTAGACTGTTCCTAGGTCTGGTCCACTTACCACACCATCCTCCACTGATCTTTTGATACTGATGTGACCACATCACCCCCTGATTAAAGGTCTCCACTGGTTTCCCATTTCCCACAGAATAAGCTCTAAACTTATAGTGGGAGGAGACGCCCTACATCATGGAAGTCTCCCTTCACTCCCGGCCCAGTCCCTGCCACTCCTGCCCTGTACACACAGCCCTGCCCTCTGCCCCACCCACATGTAGTTCCCCTCCATTGACCCGGATCATGCCATGCCCTTAGCGGTGTTCTCTGTAGTTACTGTGACCTCTGCCTAAAGGCCCCGCTCATCTTTCTGCCTTAGTTTGCTCCTAATCCACCTTTAAGATGCAGTTCCCATGCCGCCTTCACCTGGAAGCTTCCCTGACTCGGTGAGCTGATCACACCACCTCTGTGGGTCTCTACAGCCCTCTCCTGATTCTCCGGATGCCTGCTTGTTACACTGTGATGTAATTCATGAATCTTCCCTCAAATGCACGGAGAGCTCTGCAGGCAAAGACCCGCTCTTTCGACATGCACGCATAAGAACATGATCTGCTTAAGTTCACACACTGAGCAGGCACTCGAGGCAGGATAAATGCGCTGAATGGATAAATGAGAACATTTGAAGCCTAGAAAGATGCTGGGCAGTGGAAGGAGCATCAGACTTGGAGCCTGGAGGTCTGGAGTCAATAACTTGATAGCCATGCACAGCTGAGTCCCTTCACCTCTGAACCTCAGGGCCCCTATCTGTACAGTGGGAACAACAGAGACCTCTCCTGGCTGCTACAGAAACCACATGTGGAATGACACAAAGAGTGATAGAGGCATCCACTGTTACTTCTAAATTGATCAATATAACTCATTCTGAGTGATTTCTAAAATGATTTATCTTCCTTTTATCCCTTGGTAAAATCACTAGCATGGAGAGGATCTGGGAGAGCACTGTAGGTTATGTACAGTGAGCCATAAACTTGAGAGCGCGTTTTAGGGCACAAAGGAAGTCTATGCCATTTTAAAAACGTCTTTGATCTAGTCCAGTCTCTTCACTTTAGAGATGGAGACAATCAGGCTCAGAGTTGCGCAGCGATCTACAGAGCCAAGACACTGCGGTGGCCAACAACATTATCTCTGGACTTGGCCTTGGGGTTAAACACTAGCTCTTCTGGCTACTAGCTCTGTGACTGAGAGCCAGTTACCTAATTCCTCTAAGCCTCAGCTTTGCTCAGCTATACAATGGGGATTTCAAAAAAGGTAGGCAGCTCACAGAAATGGGGAATGACGAAATGAGCGGAGGCACGAAAAGCTCTTAGCTGGGTCTCTGCACACTCAGCAGCGGTGCCTGCAGCCAGGTCCCAGGACCACACAGGGAGCTGCATAAAGGACAGAGGCCAGGAGTCCTGGCTCCCATCTCAGTGCTCTTCTTCCTAGCCTCTTCCCTGCCTCACCTAAAGAGCAAAGGCACCTTGAGGGGCCAGGAGGACATCAGACATGGGGCTTGATAGATACACACAGCATTTTCTCCTTCCTCCGACTTGTCAGAAATTGCTCTTTACCATTAAGGGTTTTTCCTCTCATAAAAAAGCTTGAAATTTTTGCCCTGGCTGGTGTTTCTCGGTGGTTGGAGCGTCCATCTGTGCACATACCTGGGTTGCAGGTTCAATTCCCAACCCTGGTCCGGGCATATGTGGGAGGCAACCAATTGATGTCTCTCACATCAATGTTTGTCTCTCTCTGGCCCCCAAC